GATCTTCTGAAAAGAAAAATCTGATAGTTGGTCATCTGGTTATATTTTTGAAGTAGTTTGGATCGAAAACCGATATGATTTTATTAAACGTAAAGTGAGGGATCGATTTTCTGTTATTATGAAATAATAAACTGATCCTCCAATAAGAGTGAATGTGTTGTGACGTTCTTGGCACGACTAAGAAAAGATTCCAAAAGAAATTGTGCTGTTTGGTCAGACTTTTGGGAATTGTATCGGGAATATAAATATTCAGCAACACATCGTAGTATTTATATTATTATACTAGACATCAAATAGGGGATCGATTTTCTATCGTTATGAAATAATAAACTGATTCCCGAATTCCCGAAGTTAAGCAACGTCGACCCTGGTCAGTACCGAAATGAGTGACCACTTCGGGATACCATGTGCTGTAAGGTTGGATGTGCGGGTGGTGTAAAATGCATACGCCCTCATCACGTTGAAGCACCGATTTCTGTACGATACATGAAGTTAAGCAACGTCGATCCTGGTCAGTACGTAAATGAGTGACCACTTCGGGATACCAGGTGCTCTAAGGTTGTATATGCTCGGAATTGTTAATCAGAGTGGTGAATTCCAATTCCCCTTTTAATCGTTATGTTAACTTACGTGCAAATAACCTTGGGAAAAGAATGACCCCACCACTTCTCCTCCCCAACTATGGGTTAATTAATAAGAATTTATTGCTAAAATATTATTAACTTAAAAAAACAAAACAAATATTCTTAGAATCCTAAAATATTTACTGGCTTTAAATAGCCTGCAAAGGATTGATAAACCGTAAAAATGAATCAAGCAAATACAACATGACGGGATTCAAAAGCACTTCTGATGTTTGAACACTTGGTAAGGGTTTGGGAAAAGGTATTCAGTACCTCCACGATGTATTCATATGATTACACCGTACATAACTTGTGGGGTCTAATTTTTATTGTTGCTAAATAATAAATTGACCTGCCAAGAATGACGACATTTACTTACATTTTAACTTTCTCGGTTTAACTAAGAAAAGATTCCAAAAGAAATTATATTGTTTGGTTAGATTCAGGGTCGGCCTGAGCTCTGCTCAACACTTTTTACTAGTGTTATTAATTAATTAATTATGTTTTTAACTATAATATCCACACAGTGTATAACTACAAGAGCTCTATCTTTGCAAATTTGAAACTAAATATGTGTGCGTATATGATGAGATAAAGTGGGAAATATTTTAACGACCCCTTTCGCCGAGAGCGTACGCTCTCTTTGGCTTCCTCCAGGATACAATGAAAGAAAAACACAACTGTATTTGAGGAAAATGCATTGGGATCTCTAAGGATAATTACTTCCAATGTCCAGACTCAAGAGAGTATCTGTCCGCCAGTTTCTTTGTTTTATCTATATTGGAGGCGTTTTGTGCTTTTGCATTTTAAATCACGTATATATATATGTGGGAAGTTGGGTGCAATTGGGTATTTTGGCAGCAGTCCATATTTAATACATGTTTTTTTTAAACAAGACTGACACGCATCTGTCTATATCACTTAGATAAGCTATTAAAATTATTTACATTATTCGAACTGTTGTCCTCATCTTCATTGCCATATTCAAAACGTTCCGGCCGTTGTACGCTCCGGTCTTCTTCAGATGGTTGGAATTTCGAACCGAACACTTTATTTCGCCCACGGGGGTAGATTGTTCTAGTTCCACGTGTCATGCCTCTTCTGGATGTCTCAGTTATTTCCCTTAAACTCAACTTCGAAGTTCGTGGTGCGGGAGTACGCCACCGCAGACGTCGGTGGTCAATCCTTCGACCAAGGTGTTAGCCAAACGCGTTCTACTAGCTCAAGGTGTAGTCTATTAACGAAAATTTAAATAGCTGGTAAGTGCTCTGAGGGAAGATGGACATGTGACACCGAAATCCGAAGATACATTAAGATGGCGAAAGATGAATTCCAAAAGCTGTCCAAAGTATTAAGTAAGAGGATAATTTCATTAGGACAAACTTAAAAGAATACAAAACTGTTGACAGTGAATGTCAGAAGAAGTCACGTGAGTCAAGAGAATTATGGTTCTGCAGAAGGACGCTGAGAATACCATGGATAGAACATAGGAAGATTTAAGATTTCAACAAAACTTAAATCCAGAAAAAGACCACGGAAATAGTAAGGCACTTAATGAGGACAGAGGGTCTAGATAATTTGACACTCACAGGACATACTGAAGACAAGAGGGACAGACGAAAGCGAAGAGTAACCTGCCTAAAGAGCTAGTGCAAATGGATGACCGAACACGGATTGAGGGAGATAACGAAATGACCAACGCAACTAAAAGCTACAAAGGATAGGAAGATTTGGAGAGCTATAATCGCCACGTCCTGAAGGGACACGGCACGTAGACTTCATCTATGTGCCGTGTCCCTTTCAGTTTTTCTTTTTTTCTTTTTTATTCAATATTTTCCATTCGCTTTGTATTGTATCGGTATTTTTAAATAATCATTTCTCTTTCTTTCCACCTTGACAAAAGTCATGTCCGGAATCTAAAATCCGCTCATCTACCTTAGAGTGAACAGTCACGATATCAATGTCACAAAATATTTCATAAAACTCTCTCTCCCTCTCTCTTACCTTCTGTCTCTCTTTATCTTTATCTTTCTCTCTCTATCTCTCTCTCCCTGTCTGTCTTTATCTATCTATCTATCTATCTATCTATCTATCTATCTATCTAAACGTGTATTCATATCTGTCTTTCTAATTGAGTGTGTCCATATCTATCTTTCCAGCTACATATTATATATCTATTTACCTTTATTAATCTGTTCATATCAATCAATTTCTCTACCTCAATATGTCGTCATCTCTCTCTCTCTCTCTCTCTCTCTCTCTCTCTCCCACTGACTCACACTGATGAGCTGTGATACAGAAAAACAGTTTGTCTGTGGATGACAATATATATTGAGGAATCGCAGAGCCGAGTTCGAATTCCGGTCGAATCCATTACATTCACTTACGTGCTAATACCCTTGGGAAAGGTATGTATCCTCTTCATCTCCCTCCGGCTATGGGTAAAATAGCAGGACAGACTGGGTTCTATAGCCTTGGATGGCAACTGGTCTAGGAGAAGGACAACTCTGGATTCAAAACCTGCGGAGGGTCGTTTGGGGAACCTTGGCATGCATTCGGTGCACCAGGTTTCTGTATTCGTCCTCAAAAAAGTGTGGTTGGTCCTGCACGATGCCTTCACCACTATAATCAAATCTCATGTGCCGGTGTCGGGATGTCGGTTTCCTGGGGACTTATCGGCCTGACCCTCATACGTCGAACGCGACGGGAGAGTCGATTATTTATATATATATATATATATATATATATATCACTGCTTTGTCAAACCTAAACATTTTTTTGATATTCTACTGTCATTACTTTGTATCAGACTGTTTATGCCAATACATCTATCTATCTATCTCTCTCTATCCTCTCTCTCTCTCTCTCTCTCTCTCTCTTCTGTCCTCTCTCTCTCTCTCTCTCTCTCTCTTCTGTCCTCTCTCTCTCTCTCTCTCTCTTCTGTCCTCTCTCTCTCTCTCTGTGTTTTGTGCGTGTGCCTTTGTGCGCACACTTTTTCACTTATATATATATATATATATATATGCTTTTCCACACTTCCTCTGTCACTCTCTCTTTTCTATGCATCTCCTTCACTCTTTTTCTCTCTTCTTCTTCGTATCTCCTCTGCTTTTCCCTCACACCTCTCTCTCCTTTATTCTCTCTCTCTTCTTTGTGTATATCTCTCTCTGTCTCTCTGTCTGTCTGTCTGTCTCTCTCTCTCTCTCTCTCTCTCTCTCTTGTGCCTTTGTGCGTGTGCTTTTCGCACACTTTCACACTTATATATATATATATATATATATATGCTTTTTCCACACTTCCTCTGTCACTCTCTCTTTCTATGCGCATCTCCTTCACTCTTTTTCTCTCTTCTTCGTATCTCCCTCTGCTTTTCCCTCACACCCTCTCTCTCCTTTATTCTCTCTCTCCTTCTTTGTATATCTCTCTCTCTGTCTCTCTGTCTGTCTGTCTGTCTGTCTCTCTCTCTCTCTCTCTCTCACACACATTTTCTTAGGAAACGATGTGGAGGATTGCATCTGCACAAACTTTGTTTACATAATCAAACACATGTTGTTTGCACAATTTCCAGTGTATGGTTATCCTCCCCTGACGTGTCTACAATTATATTCCATTTGAACCAGATTGAATGCGATCATTTTCGTATTTAGTAGCTTCATTTTCTTCGAAAGAGACATCATTATTATTATTATTATTATTCATTTATCTATCTATTTATTTATTTACTTATTTATTTCATTATGACGAAAATGCTCCTCATTCGCAAGGGAGACCCGTTTCCAGTGAATTTTGTGTCTCTATTGAATGCCGTCCATTAGACAGAAGATGAATAGAGAGCGTCGTGTGTGAACAGCTTATTTTTTTAATTATCCTAATTGTGAGAACTGAATACGACAGTGATTACGAAACTGCTGGCTTATGGCGCGTGCATCTGTGTCAACCAATCACGGGTGGATAGGCGAGATGAAAACGAGGGGAGAAGGTAGTACCTTTTATTTATTTATTCACATTTTGATGAAACCGTCTTCTTTCTCTCTCTCTCTCTCACTCTCTCTCTCTCTCTCCTTCCCTCCCCCCCTCTCTCTCTCTCTATTTCTCTCTCGCACGGACTTAATTATTCGTTCTCTATTTTTATCCCTATCTAATTTTTATTCTTATTCTTATTCTTATATATAAATAAGAACGGAAATATACAAATCATATATATATATATATATATATATGTGTGTGTGTGTGTGTGTGTGTGTGAGTCCTCCTGTTACTATTTCACAATATTCAAACACGCACACAGGTATGCACACGGACACACACACACGCACACACACACACACACAAATATGCATGTACATGTGTTCGTCTATAAGGGGAATTGTTATGACATCAAATTATATGTATATGCAAATTTTGTTCATGCCTTTCTTTGAGCAATATATATATATATATATAGATAGATAGATAGATAGATAGATATGAAGTGATTGAGATAGATAGATAGATAATGAAGAGATTGAGATAGATAGATAAATAGATATGAAGAGATTGCGATAGATAGATAGATAGATAGATAGATAGATAGATAGATAGATAGATAGTGTTTTTTTTGTTTCTAGTTCCTTTTTTTATTTTCAGAAAAATCTAACTTCAATTGATATAGTTAATAATATATATATATATTTAATTTACATCCCCCTCTCTCTCTCTCTCTCTCTCTCTCTATATATATATATATATATATATATATATATATATCTTTCTTTATTTTTCTTGCAACTTATTTTTTCTCTTTCTTTCTTCCATGAAATGAAAATAAACACGACTGCCATTATATTTTCCTTCTCGCTTTTTTTTTTACAATTTCACTCATTCATTCAAAAATCTAGATGTAAAGCAATGAAAAAGAAGTGAGGTTAAAAGTACGGAAAAAAAAGAACAAAGGGAAAAAGAAAAAGAATGACTTGAAAAAATGGATTTAGGAGGAAAGAAATACTGAAAGAGAAATAAAAGAAAAGAGAGAAAGGTAGCGGTGGAATGAGAAGAAAAAATAATCCACAGAGTACAGACTTTGAGAATACGGAAGTAAAATAGAATAGGATTTGAGAGAGGGTGAGGACCAAGTATCATATAGCTATGGATGGAATGGTAAAACCAACAAGGAAAAACTATAAAACAAAGAAAAAAAATTTAAAAAAAGAAAGAAGAAAATTCTAATTTAAACATCGAAAATAAAAAGTATAAAAAAGAAGAGAAAGAAGCAAGGAGTATTATCTGTCGAAAATAGAAAAATCCAAAGAAAAAAAAAACAATGAAAAATTAATCTGTGAATGAATTAAAAAGAGCAGATAGAAGGGCACGAAAAAGCATGAAGAAAAGAGAATTTTCTGAGAGAAGAAAATGTCAAAGAAAAATAGAAAAAGGACAAAATAACGAAAAATTACAAGAAAGAGACATGCTTAAGGATAACAACCTCAAAATCTACGTCATATCTCAACAAAAGGCTTATAGATGGTTGATTCACATTACCAATACAGCTTTCTTCCATTGCCGTTAAAAATACCGATGAGAGATTTAAAAAAAAAAAAAATACAACAATTAGAAGAAGCATTTAAAATATCATAAACAAAAAAATATCAAATTTGGAAAGAGCAGAACAGATTTTCCCTGAATTTGCTGATGATTAATTTTAGCTCTCAAAAGGTGTATTTTCTTTCCTTAAGTCAGTTCTTGCCTCGTATGCTTTATTTCTTTCATTATATATATATTTATATATATATTTATATATATATATATATATATATATATATATATATATATATATATATATATATAATGAAAAAAAAAGGAATAATATATATATATATATAATTTGTTATGTATACGTCTGTGTATGTACACACATATATATATATATATATATATATATATATATATATATATATATATTGTACTGGTCCCTAGTACCGTTATTTTTCTGGTTAGAGAATATCTCGCCACGGAGCTTTTTATTACTTTTTCTGCCAAGTATTTACTTGATTTATCTATTCTATTTTTCCTTATTTATTAGTTCGTACGGTTTTGGTTAGGTGTAAAATAATAGACGTGGGTATTGAGTGTGCCATTTTGATGAGTGTCATTTCGTACGCGTTTACGGTCGACTAAACAGTAATACAGGGAAATAAATGCAAGTTCGACATAAAGCTCATGCAACAATCAACGACGTGTGTATTTATAATCAAACTGTTATACAAAATAGGCTTATTTACTGATCTGCATATAACAATATATTCAAATAGATGAACACGAACTTGCATACTTGCAACACACACACAGATACATATATATATATATATATATATATATATATATATATATAGGTAACTATACTCGCTTCGAAAAACCTTCGAATTTTTGATTTGCCAATAATCAAATCAATCTCGAAGGAAAAAAAAGGTTTTTAAAAAAGAAAGATCTAGAAACATGAAAGTCTGTCGAAAAAAATCGCACAGATGCAGGCTTGAAGCCCAACAAAAATACCTCGACACGAATAAACAACTAACAAAAGAGCTCAATACAACCGTAGAGCAGACCTAGATAGACCTAGTGAGCCAGACCAACCTACCCAGGTTTCACCTAAGCGGATCGTCAGCCAGCTTTCCCTGACGATCCGCTTCGGTGAAACCTGGGTAGGTTGGTCTGGCTCACTAGGTTTATATATATATATATATATATATATACAACAGTTTGAATCCACCCCCAGAATTAGCAGGTTATCAATTTGACAGAAGAGTGAAACCTTTCCATCCCAAAAAAGAAAAAGAGCTCTTTCAGTCATTGAAAAAAAAAATGGAATCAGTTATCAAACTTATACTTTGAGAAACTTTTACAACAGAACTAAAGATTTTAAATTTAATATAAAAAAAAAGAGTTGAAAAAATTGATTACATAGCCAACATAGCAGACAACATAAACTGCCCGAGTGGTGGTAAGGGGAAGCCGGGTGTTGTCTGGCTTAAATAGAGAGAAGCCACACAAATTCAACCCATATATTAACCTTAACAACCCAGGTTGTGCTTATAAAATGAAATGATATTAAAGGAAGGCCGAAAAAAGTATGAACTAAAATTGTTATCACTCAAAATTACCAAAATATGCTTACAAATAAAATATATTAAGATTAATAATGAATTGTTTTTAGATAGTTTATATTAAGAAAAAAAATTTAAATAAAATAAAAATAAATTATATTAACCATTTAAAATTTTAAAGATAAGTTAAATTATTAAGGATACCAGCAATACCCAGAATATATATATAAAAAAAAAAACTTTATAAAAAATGAAAAGGATAAAGAATAAAGTAAACAAAGGAATGGGACATTATTTACATTATTCGGACTATTGTCCTCATCTTTGTCGCCATATCGTTAAAAAGAATACCCGCTCGGCCCGGTGGCTAGGATCAAAGTGTAGTATCTGCGCTTTGTGAGCTGCCGGGTCGAGTGTCTGTCGAACTCTCTGCTTGCAGAGAGGAACCCGGACGAAGCTCCGCCGAAGGGTGGGGTTTCGTTCGGGGAGGTTGACGGAACTAGCCCGCTTGGACGGGTTTAGATGGGTTTTGTTTTTGGCTGGGCCTACGGGCTCAGACATACCCACATTAAAAAGGCCTTGTGCCGCATTCAATTCCTGTGGGTGAATTGATAAATACCATCTTTGTCGCCATATTTATCACAACGTTTCAGCCGTTGTACGCTCCGGCCTTCTTCAGGTGGTTGGAATTTCTCTCTGAAAGTTTTCCACTGCATTAAACGGGTGGAGAAATTTCAGAGGGAAATTAGCAGAAGATAACTGATATCCATCAAACATGGCACGTGGAACTAGAACAGTCTACTTCAGTGAGCGAAATAAAAGGTTCAGTTCGAAATTCCAACCACCTGAAACGTTGTGATAAATATGGCGACAAAGATGAGGACAATAGTCCGAATAATGTAAATAATGTACATAATACCTCATCTCAGAAATATAGACAGACTGTAAAAGAACGGGAGTTTATAAAGTAGTGGAAGGTTATGAGATAGGATTGATATGGAGAAGCCAAAATATAGAAATAACTATAGTAATATGTATAACATTAAAAGAGTTAGATAATTAAGAAATGATCACAAATATTAGAGAAGTTTAAACCTACTCATGTGACAACATTTTAAAACTAATTCATTGCTTTGATTTAATAGTTTGATTATTTAATGTTATTATTCTAATTTTCGCTTCTAAACATGGTTCCCATCTATTTCAAAAACAATTTGGAGTGTGTGGAACCTAAAATCTTCCAGTAAATCGGATGGTTCCGAGCTTTCTCCAACAATTCTAAATTTTTTAGAAAGAATTTTCTGATATTTTAATTTTGGGTTGGTAAAAGAGTGCCTGTGGGTGTAAACTCTTTGTTTCCATTCCTCATCAGAAATCCCAATATAGATATTGCGATTTATCTTATCTTCTTTGGGGTAAATGGTTGCTTGGTATATCACCGTAGTAGCCTTGCAGTTTCTTTCAACTGGACAGTTTTCACTATTTCTGCAATTGCCGGGGTGGGGGTCCTCCTGGCTTTATTGAATTTACTTCAAATGTAGTTATTATGACAGTTGATAATTTTGGTGAAGGAATTGCTTTTTTTTGATCGTTTTCGATGTGTCACATAAGGATATGCAGATTCTCATTTTTTTAATATCCTTCATTTTACGGTAGGAGTTTTACTAATTTATTTTAAATGCCAAAAATATTTAGAAATTTCTAAATATTTTTGGCATTTAAAAGAAATTATTAAAAAATCCTTATATGACCCATGTCCACTGTGTTTAACAAGAAAAACTGCATATTATAAACTTTCCTAAAAAATAAAGTTCTGCTAAACAAAAGAAATGAATTAACGGTCATATGTAGGCATTGTATAAATTTTACATTAAAATATAGTTAAAAAAAAATTTTCTAAATATTTTACGCATTGCAATTACATAGCCATTATTTTATCATATAGGTACATAATGGACCGCACAATCTTTATTTGATTTTTTCAACTTGAATATTTTACTTGCCATTTAATATAATTAGCATCGTATGTTAAAGTTCCATAAAAAATTTTTTTTAATTTTATCTATTCGTCCCCTTTAAGAAGTTTCCATCGTATAAAAAAAATTTGAAAAATTCTTAAAAATATTTTTTTGTTCAAGGTAACTTTATGTCTACTTCACCAAATCTGAACTCTGGATTTCGCTACAATATGTTAGCCGCTGACATGTCTAGAGTCTCTATTTATCAAGACATGAATTTATAACCCATCTCTGACCTTGTTTTTCATTTTTCTTATTTTAGCTTAGATTTGACTTTTAATTGCTTAATCCAGATATACCACCAAGTATTTTTTTTTAATTCTGACTTTAGGCTTCCCCTCATTTTTAACTTTCAAAAGAGGCAACGATTTATTTTCAAATTTCCCAAATCAATAATTTTTATCAGATGTTATCTACCATCGCCCGAAGAGGAACGATTATAGTTTCAAAACATGAAAGTTTTTGAGTAGAGATGTAAAATGTTTTTTATTGTAATCTGTTATAACAGAAATATTTTAATAATATATTGTTCTAAGTTGTATTGAGCACTTTTTAAAAAAGTAAATGCTAACAACTATGGATGCTAACTCCATCTGTTCTTTCTCTTTCTTAATAGATAGATAGATAGATATGAATAGGCCGTGATAGATAGATAGATAGATAGATAGATAGATAGATAGATAGATAGATATGTTCTAGTGCAGCTCATAGTTTCATGTTTACCCTATTTATCAGGCACAAATAGTAAAAGAATTATTTATTAAGATTCTTTTTTTTTTTTTAATTCTGGTCTCACCAGAGGAACGCTATATTATATACAGATTCAAAGTTCAAGATTATTATAAATTTAATATAATATTGGAGTATAAATTCAAAATATAGAATCTTGGGAGGTAGATATTTGAAGAAATAAAAACCATTTTGTTTACATCTTAAATCAAATAAATATTTATTTTCTCATCTATATATATATACGTTATCACATGTATAAGTGGTTATTTCGTTTATGTTCACTATATATATATATATTTTGGTTGGATAGATGTGAGTTTTGTGACCCTGGGTTTCACGCTTTAGCTAAATATATATTTATATTTATATACACTTTTCACACACACACACACACACACATATATATATATATATATATATATATATATATATATATATATATATATATATATATATATATAAATGCTCCACGTGTGCTTCTTATAGTAGGCAAAATAGATAGAGTTGGTTAATAAAACAAGGTCAAACGAAAGGGGTAACAATGTGATTAGTACGAAAAACATTTATTAAATATTAATCTCCTTCATCAGCGGTGCGAGAAATAAACAAACAGGATTCACACCAGCCACAAGGACAACCGTTGATGAGTCTTCCCTGATTCTCTGTTTATTTCTCGCACAGCTGTAGAAGGACATAGGCGTGCTCTAAAATTCCGGACTTAGAACCTTAATTTCCTGCTTCATTTCTGTCTTCTGGTTAATAATTAATATTTAATAAATGTTTTTCGTACTGATCACATTGGTACCTTTACTTTTGCCCTTCTTGTTTTATTAATGAACCTATCAATTTTACATATATATATATGTGTGTGTGTGTGTGTGTGTGTGTGTTGTTTTACGCGTGAGGTTAGGACCCCATTCACACACTTGGGATTAAAATGTATACATATTCTCAGAGGACCGGATGACATGTCACTGTCTATTCTAACGTAATTTCAATGAATTAATAAAATGAATAACATATGTATTTTAAACTTAATAGTGATTAAATTTGATTTTAAAATTAGTAATTTTTACTTTTAATTTTAATATCAAATTTTATCATATAATTTAATAATTATTGGTTAGAATAAATTCTTTTTTAATATTACCTGTATGTTAAAGATCTGCTATTATAACATGACTTCGTTATCAAGGTTTTTGAATTTTCCTATACTTGTATTTTGATTGGTCATTCTAGCTTTTGTAACAACGTTTTCCCCTTGTAAAGGATCGTTAATTAATTTGAAACTTTTAAAACCATTTATTTTACATTCAACATCATCACTTGATAAGACACCGAGGGTATTGAAACAAAATAGCTATTTTGTAGTGATTTTATAACATATTTATGTTATAATTTTTTAAATAAATAATTATATATATATATATATATATATATATATATATATATATATATATATATATGTAGAATAACACTGACATAACTTAGTGCATTCTAAAGCTTTCAAACAAAGAATAACGATACTTTTAAACAATGCACTGGTTTTTTATCATTTCATTCCAAGCAAGGCGATAAAGTCACTAAGACACAAGGAAATACTGAAAGTGAAAGAAATGGAGATGGCAATATATCACTGGTTTCAAGGACATAGAAGATCACGATTGACAATTCATTTTAATTATTTTACATTGTAATTGCGAGGGGCTTACGAACATATCACGTTGAAACCCCCGCTAATATATGAACACCGAATATAAATACCGTAGAGCCTGATCACGACCTAGATTGAAGACTGCTTGGGAATACCAGGTGCCATAAGCTTGGGTGCGCGGGTAGTGTAATGGATAACGGGTCAGAATTGGAAATCGGAGAACTGAGTTCCAATTCCAGTCGGGTTCGTTGCATTCACTTAGGCACAGATATTTTTGGGAACGATATGAATACACCACTTCACCACCTCAGATATGGGTTAAATAATAGGACTTCTGTCAGTAAATAATTATAATCTTGAAAATATTTTTACGATCTAAAAATATTTTCTGGCTTAAAATCACCTAAAGAACGAGTATAAGCTTTAAAGTCAGATCAATCATACTTGAGAGTAAGGCAAGAAACCGGGAGAGATTTCTACAAGCGAAAAATACACGAGAAGAAAATATTACCATAGAACCTGCGGTTAGAACTATCAATTCATGCAGTAAAATGATGAGACCGAATTGCCAATCCAGTGCTACGTTTACATTCATGATATCGAGGTAACAAAGAACAATTATCATGAAAATATTTATAGAAATGGCAATGGGAAGCTACATTAGGGCGGTGTCTGAAGGCGACTAAAGCCAAGATGTCAGTTCATATCTTTTAATACTGCAGATTATCTTCTTACGCACATTCTTGGTGATATCGCATGTGAGGCGAAAGCTTGTACCGAATATGAATTTTATCTAATTTATTCATCAACAAAAGGCAGCAAATGCCAAACACTATTCGTATCCGAAAAAAAAAGATCAACAAATTTAATGAATATTAAATGCTTATTCTTAATAATAATAACAATAATATAATAATATATATATATATATATATATATATATATATATATATATATATATATATATATATATATATATAACAATTTGTAATTGGTAGGATAATTCCAAGAACGACATTAATTCAAAGAGAGCTCAATGTAAATCACAGAACAACAGAACGGTAAATCAAGAAAAACCTTAAAAATCCATCTTGGTTATAATTTATTTCATGAATATTGTTATATTCATCTTAAAAGATGAATATAGCAAAAAGCCGAAAGCTTTTTAGGAATCGAATCAATCCATCCAAACAGATATACCGGGATAAAAAAGGAGAAAGGGAAAAAATAGAGAAGAAAAAAAAAGAGTGGAAAAGAAAAAAAGAAAAGGAAACAACTTTAATAATAAAAAAGAAGAAAGAAAATATAAAAAAAATATAAATATAAAAAAATTACAAATATAAGAAAAGATACGTGTGAGTGTGTGTGTGTGTGTGTGTGGTGGGTATAAATACGTATGTATGGGGAAATTATGCATGCTCATATGTGTCTAGTCCCACACATATGCACACACTGATACACACCCACAATAACAAAATACTGATAAGAAGTATAAAATTTTCTCAGTAAGACCAAAAATTCTTCAAAGACAAATTCAGAAGTTTACCCATTTGGTCACATATTCAGCGCCCATCTTGATGTACGTGGGCGTGTTTGTATGAGATAGATAGATAGATAGATAGATAGATAGATAGATAGATAGATAGATAGGTATAAAGAAACTGAGATAGATAGATAGATAGATAGATAGATAGATGAATGATAGATAGATAATCATTAGTGAAATTCTCATGTGTGATTCTTTATTTTTTTACTTACAGGAGACGCGCATGC